GTCTGTGCAGCGCCCGGCACAACGGGGCCCTGATCTCAGCTGGGGCAGGGACTGTCTCTCGCTGTGTCTGTGCAGCGCTCGGCAAAACGGGGCCCTGATCTCAGCCGGGACAAGGACTGTCTCTCCCTGTGTCTGTGCAGCACCCAACTTAGCTGGCCTTTAGGCACTACCATAATATACAAAATAATGTCCCAGGCATTAAGATTTTTTTAAAAAGTCTGAACAAAATTGTTGATTTACTTTTTAAAATAAAATAATGGTATGAATTGGCTCTAACTCCATTGGAGTCAATAGGCCCAAACTCCCAACTGGAATACGTCAGTATCGTGCCCTCACTTTCTGGGCACTGTCCAGATTGATACCTCCTGAGGGTCTGTAGGCTGAAAGAAAGAGGAACACGCAGTAGGTTCTGCATTCCATGTCTGCAAACAGGGGTCACAAGCCACCTGTTTAAAGGATCACAGCTTCCTTCTGGCAAATCCATTTCAGGTCAGTGTTGCAGATTTCAGGCTGGATCCGATTCTTCTTTAATGCAGCACAACTGTTGTTTTCCGCCGGCCCCAATACCATGAATCTGCAGAGTGAAGGAGACCGTCACATCAGTGCGGTTAGAGGCAGAGAATAGAGGGTAGTCTCCTTCCTTGCAGGATGTAGGAGTCCAGCGGTCCTCTCTAGCCTTTCTCTACATAAGCTAAAAAGTATAAGGAGTTGGTGTGTTTCTATCCAACCCTGAGGGACAGGTGTTTATGAAACTGACCACAAAGTAATTAATCAGAGTGCTACCTCAGAGGAGTCTAACTTTAGGTGGAAATGTTCAGCTTTGTTTCAACTTACATGAAAGTTGAGTCAATTTCAAATATCAGTTGGAGAAGATTTCATTTTTTGGTGTGACCTATTTTCTAGATTTTTGCCCAACTATTGGGGTACCTGGAACTGTCTCAGTTTTGACAGCAATTTTGAAATCTCCAAAGCTGATAAAAAAACAACAATAGCAAGAACAGATGGGAAAAATTTGTTTTCCCCCATTTTGTTGCTACTTCTACTAAGGACTGAAGCGGCCAAGCAAACATGTATGTACTTGCATTCCTTTCTCCCAGGCATACATTCACTTCAATGAGATTTCAAGTTTAACACAAGTATGTTTGCTGGATTGAGGCCTTTTATACTGTAAGATTTAGTGGACGAAATCCTTGCCTCATGACAAATTTATTATTGACTTTAATGAGGCCTAGGATTTCACTCGTATTTAATTCAGACTGAAGTAAAATACTAATCAGGAAACACTCACAGTGTTTGATTTAAGGGGGAACCATCCACCCAGGTCCAGTTCTTCCTTGGGGACGTGATGTTGAGTCCAAACCACACCGGATTTTGATCTCCTATAATATTCTGTATGAACACCTGTGAAATTGACAAGGTGTCGAAAAGGCAGAATTCTCCGGCTCCTTAGCTCATTATGCAAACGAGACCTGATCTCTAGCCTGGGCTTTGATCATTTATATTGATGACAAATATTGCTGAAACACCAATGAAAATTAAAGATAATAAACAATTATACTATTAATTAATAACTGAGTTGGTCCTGTGCCCTTCCATCAAGATTTTGATGAATTTTATTTAAAAATTTTAGTAAACTTCAGCCAACATTCTCCATTTTTGAGTGAATTTTTTAATATTCATGTGCTGAGTTTTTTTTAAATAAACATGGCTCCAATAAACAATAACTAGCTTTTCAGCTCTGGGCTAATATCTCAAGGGTTACCCACCAACTGCAGCTATTTCCAGAGAGGGCAGGATTCTGTACTGAAAGTGTCTAACTCTGGTGAAAGATTTCCCACAATGTGAAAATACAAATTGATAAAAAAAAATTGTTCTTTTGCACACCTGCATTTTATAATTTATTAAATATTTAAAACAAATATTAAAATTAGAGACGATCTTTAAAAAATCTGAAATTTTTTTGTGTGAAAAATAGAAAAAATTGCAGATGAAAATGTGGCTGATAATTATTTGTTGCTGGAAAAATCAAAGGAGGGTTTTGTGACCTGTTGTAATCGACAAGGACGTGAATAGGGGAGAGGGGAGTTTAGCACGTTCTTTACCATCTCCTCCTGGTCCTGGATCACTAGCAGGTGAGATCTCCTCTGTGTGCAGTCATCCCGGCTCCTGCTCCAGTACGTACTCCCATCAGACAGCCAGTAGCACTTGTCCCTGTGCGGCTTCCAGTGCATGGGGCAGAGTTTGCACCCGGAGTCCCCTACCCGGAGAAATGAAACCATTATTAATCACGGGTCATTCTGAGCAGCTGCCCTGCAGAGACACAGGGATCCGCCGCACTCGGTGAGTGAGGGAGACAGAGGGCAGAGCCATGTGGAGTGAAGCAAAATCTTAAGATCTCGGGATGCCGTGTCAGCGCAGATGCCAATACTCCCATGCAAAGCCCAGCAGTAAGATATTCTGGGTCTTATTTTCTATCCCTTTCCTAATAATTCCTAGCATCCTATTTGCCTTTTGACTGCCGCTGCACACTGCGTGGAAGTTTTCAGAGAACTGTCCACGATAACTCCAAGATCTCTTTCCTGATTTGTCATAGCCAAAGTAGCCCCCATCATACTGTACGTATAGTTGGGGTTATTTTTCCCGATGTGCATTACTTTACACTTATCCACGTTAAATTTCATTTGCCCTTTTGTTGCCCAATCACTCAGTTTGGTGAGATCTTCTTGGAGTCCCTCACAGTCTGCTTCTGTCTTGACTATCCTAAACAGTTTGATATCATCCGCAAACTTTACCACCTCACTGCTCACCCCTTTCTTCTTCTAGCCACTGCTGACCCCAGTTCAGAGCACAACGGAGCCCTGGTCTCAGCTGGGGCAAGGACTGTCTCTTGCTGTGTCTGTGCAGCGCCCGGCACAACGGGGCCCTGATCTCAGCTGGGGCAGGGACTGTCTCTCGCTGTGTCTGTGCAGCGCCCGGCACAACGGGGCCCTGATCTCAGCTGGGGCAGGGACTGTCTCTCGCTGTGTCTGTGCAGCGCCTGGCACAACGGGGGCCTGATCTCAGCTGGGGGAGGGTCTGTCTCTCGCTGTGTCTGTGCAGCGCCCGGCACAAC